AAAGTAGCAAGCGAGCAAAGGTCAATTTTGAGGAAGGTACGAAACGGATAGTTGCTTACGTCAGATGGCGACTCGAGTGTGAAACGATAGAACTGTTTCCGCACATCAGAGGTACATGAGCAAACCGGCGATCATCCCTTTTGCCAGTGGTGGCAGGGGGAAACACCCCTCACCATCCCTTATTAACGGATGAGCTTGGTAAATGAGATGCTCTACCCGATTCGTACCTTCCTCAAAATTGTCATTTGTTCGCTTTCTACTTTATATATACAAAATTTCACACTGCCGTACTATAACGGAACTATCAACTCTATAATTTAATCGCCTCATCTATTGTATGAAATCTCCACATTAAGTCTGATTTTTGACGTTAAGCATAGTTCGAACTACCAGCATAATCTATTTCCAAGAATTTTGTTGATTGTTCTGCAAAGAATTTCAAGAATGCAATCTTATTTTTTGTAAAAGCTTATTTGCCTCTAAGTTTAATAGAAAGGGAATTATTCTAAAAAAGTTCTTGGGGTCATTCTGAAGAAATTCTGTGAAAAGTTCTTAGCGAATTCAAGTTTAAGATCATAAAAAATGAAAATTACTATTTGCTAGTCATCATGTATAACGTAAGCAAAAGTAAATTATTCAAATCACTTCAAATGCTCTTCACAGGAGATTCCGTTGTGAGATTTGATTAAATTAGAGGAATTTAAGAAATTTGATTTTAAGTTCCATGACATAAAAAAAGTTTATTTCAATATCAAATCGTATTGGAATTTCTAAGTTACCATATAAATGGTTACTTATTTAGTATTTACAAGTCACTATTTCCGTAATTTTAGTCACTAAAGTCACTACTATTATATAGCATACTACCAGCCCTGTATAGTAAGTTTATTCTTTGGCATCGTGGATTAATCATGATTGTGTTGACGAAGTGGTCATGCAGTTAGTGGAGTTACCCGTAGTTTAGGTAAACTGTGTGCCTGTCACGAAGTAAGGATTTGATTTCCACTTCTGCCGGATAAATTTTTCATTAAAATAAAATTGTCTAGTGGTCTACTGTATGTTGTCTATTAAATTGTCATTCTGCGTAATCTCTGGTTAAAGATGTTGTCCAAATTTTAGTATTATTAAGAACTATTCTTATGCGGCATAATATGGTACTAGGATGCATGAAATAGTAAAATTAGTTATAAACTCATTTTTTTTATAAATCCATCCATTCAAACATGCTCGATTAGTTGCTTCTTAATATTTTCAAATAGGTTACAGTTAAAAAAACATTGTAAAAATATTAAGTTTTTTTTTTACATAAGGCATGTGAAAATACTTTTCATAGCTTTTTATGGTTATGGTACATCAATTTGATTTCAATAGCATTATTGACGCTACAGTTGAAAACTGAAATAACCCACTAGCGAAAAAAGGTTTTACTCTCTTTCTAAACGTTATACATAGCGTCGGAAGAAGTGCACTTGAATCGCCCAATGATACGGTATAATGCGCATACTTCCGATACTATGTATAACCGAAGACAACATATCAGGAAGACTGGCAACTCTTCTATTTTCTCAAACGACCGGCATGATACAGGCACAACCGCTCACCTGACGCTCAAAGGTAAATGCTCCGAACGAATGGGATAGTAAAGGTTCCATCCTTAGAAGAAAGGTTTGTGCATTTGCTTATTTTTCTATGCGTTGCTTCCACCTTCGCTCGAGCACAGCGCTACTGTGTCGTCGCTCGGATTCAGGCAATGTTGCCAGTCTTCTTGATATGTTGTCGTCGGTATAACGTATAGATCAAGAGTAAAATCGATTTTCGCTGGTGGGTTATTCCAGTTTTCATCTGTAGCAACAATATTTTAAAATAGGATTTTTATTTGGATGTTTCTGAGTAGTCCCGATTTTTCCAGATTTTATATTCTAACTGGAACAGATTTTCTGAAAACGACCTGGCAACGCTGCACATGAGCGTCCATTCACCGAAGAAGGAGGAAAAAGCCGCACAGCTACTGATCGAATTCAGTTGCTCGTCGTGAGCTGTGCCAAGCGCGTCACCCTTGTTCCAAACAACATACAGCTCGCCAGCTTCATCTGTGTTGAACACCCTAATAGTTCAGCATTACTCAATCTGCCCTTTTCAGGACAACCATAATATTGCTAAAGAGTATTTTCTGAACATTTGTCAAGGTCATCAATTGGATGTCAGTTCCCATAAGTTTAAATCCAACATACCACGAATCTGCTAAAAGTAAGACTTTATCAACTTTCAAAAGGTCACTATTGAAAATTGCACGAATGTGTAACTGTTGCTATGATAATGAAAATTATTACCGATTGCCTGCGAAAAGCGCTTTCCCTAACACAGATTTCAATCACCGCGTGTGTTGAGTGGTGGTGTCCGGTCGTCATCAGCAGCAGCAATAGCAGCAATCCTTTCGGCGCGTTGCATTGTACATTTTTCTCCAGTACACAACGAAAGGCTCTCCGCAAGCAGCTAGCTATATCAAGGCTGCCCTCAAAGAGCCCTCGATTCACCGAAGAAGGAGGAAGAAGCCGCACCGCTACTGATTGGATTCAGTAACTCTTCGTGACTCACTGTGGGCTATCTATGCCAAGCGCGTAACCCTCGTTCCAAACAACATACAGTTCGCCAGCCTCACCTGTGTTGAACACCCTAATAGCTCAGCATTACTCAACCATCACGACAAAACGGTTCTTTTCAGGGCCACCATAAATTATTGTTGTTTAAGAGTTAATTTTCATTGAACGTTCGCTCGCCTTGCTGCCAGTTACATCACCCCCAAAGCTCTTTGATAATGTACCGATCAACCAAATATTTGTGGTCAAATACGTAACAGTATTAAAGTGGTACATAAAACTTCTCGCAATGATCTAATGGAACATGACCTTGTCAAATAACCAGAAACACTTCGAATGAAGGTAAGGTTTTCTCCAGGACGCTAGAAAAAAACCAAAATAATCTCGATATGATTGATCGCGAATGTCTCGCGATTGGAAAATTTTAGCAAGAAATTCCTCCAGTCAATTTTCGGGTTTTTATTATTTATCGAATAAACCAAATATTTCGTGCGTTTTGTGCACGAAAATGCGTAATTTTGTCTTCAGAAAATGAGGCGTTTCCGTGATGGGAAAAGTGGTTTCCCTAACACAGTCGCCGAATATTGATACCGAGCACTTAAAGCTCGATTCAAAGTAAATCTTGACGCATGGTTTAATACACCTGGTGGTTGGAACAAAAAAACGTTGACAGGCATTTGTTGATGTTTCATTGACGAAGAAATTGGTGAAAAGTTTTTCTCGATTGATCGACGCATCCCGACATTACGGATCATGGAACTTGAGAAAACAAAATTAATTGTGCACAAACATCTAGAGAACTCTTCGTGGTCTGCCTCAAAAATAGCAAAAGTGTTAAAATTCCCAAAGTAAACGGTGTGTCATGTAATCAAACGTTACAATGATACTCTGAGTGTGGATAGATATAAGTGGCACTAGGGACAAAGAGCTGAGGAGAAAGGTGTTGAGGTACGTGAAAAGCAACCCAGGTGTCTCCATACGTGATTTGGCAAAGAAATACGATTCCAACTTTTCCAACGTGCGTAGCATCCTTTCAAGAGAAGGATATAAGTCTTTTTGTACCAGTCAACATCCCAATCGCTCCCTGAAACAAAATTTAGTGGCCAAAAGGCGAGCAAAATTACTATACGAACGAGTTTTGACGAAATTTGATGGCTGTATTTTAATGGATGACGAAACATATGTCAAATGGATTATAAACAAATCCCCGGACGAAAATGTTACCTGCAACTGGTCGTGGGGATGTCCCATCCAGGTATAAATTTGTTTTTGCTGATAAGTTTGCTCGGAAACTAATAATTTGGCAAGGAATCTGCAGTTGTGGCCTTAAAACCAAGGTTTTCATCACATTTCACAAAATGACGTCGAAGGTTTACATTAAAGAGTGTCTGAGAAAGCGGATTTTACCCATCATTCGGCAACACAAGACCAACGTTATGTTTTGGCCAAATCTAGCCAGCTGCCACTACTCTAAGGAGGTACTAGAATGGTTTGCTGCAAACAATGTTAATTTCGTCGCCAAAGAGATTAATCCTCCGAATTGCCCTGAGTTCGGACCGATCGAAAAATATTGGGCAATTGTCAAGCGAAAACTTCGAGGATGCGGTAAAGAAGTGACAAATGCACAACAAATGCGTTTAAAGTGGAATAAGTTCGCCGGTACAGTGTCACCAGCGGCTGTGCAGATCATGATGGCATCGATCCCAAGTACAGTGCGACAGTTCGTTCGAAACGGTGAAATGAAATAACTTGCTATGTATAATTTGAAAGCTGAATAAATACCCTTTTGTTTAACGTTTTGATCAACCGTGTATGTTTTTTAATTCTTGAGTTATGATTCTTTGAATGCGTCCAAATTTACTTTGAATCGGGCTATAATCCTACCTCAAATCTACAGTCGTGTCTTAAATACAACCTCTTACTTTTTACAATGGAATGGTACGTGTGGGTTCAATGTAGTAGCACCATGTTCAATTTCAGGATGATGATTCAAGTTTCCTTCCACAATAAGGGAAAATTCGGGCATAATGGACCACTTCTTGAAGTCAGCTTCAAATGGAACCTTCACCATACGATTTTCCACATATTATGGCTATTTTTTAGGAGTGGGATTTTGGAACTATTTTTCCCCACCGTGCAACGGTTGTACATCGGTTACAAAAGTCAGTCAAATGCATAAATTTCAAATTATATTGGTTGTGATGTATATAGGACTTGAAACTTAGTTGACTGCAAATCACACGAATTTGTTACTGAACTTAGTTACAGGTTTAATAAAAAAAAAAGTGCAGACAACCATCGCCATCCACCCCCGTAATCCCCAATATACATTTACTGATTTCGATGCACTCCAGGATTCTCCCATTCATGCCCATTCTGCTTTCTATCTTTTCATGCCCGCAGGGAGACTACATCGAACATACGCTCGGTTTGTTTATGTGCATTTCGACGATGGCCGCAGCCGCCCTGGGAAATACATTCAGCGACGTGATCGGTATCGGGTCCGCTTTCTACGTGGAAAAGCTGGCAGAGATGAGCGGCGTAAGGCCACCGAAGCTGTTGCCGATACAGCTCGAGATGAAATGCAGTCGACGGGCAGCGAATTTGGTAAGCATGCATGCACAGTCACCTGCAGCCCGGAATACAGCGTGTTCCGTTCCCGTTGCTTCGAATGGCCTTTACCGGAGCGAATCACACGGTTGGGTCCCGAACCTAATAAGATTTCGGACTCAACGCGAAAGCGTTCGTTCTTTGTATATTAATTACTCGCATTTCGTTCGTACAGGGACGTGTTTTGGGTATCACCATCGGTTGTCTGCTGGGAATGTGTCCGCTGTACTTCATGAACGAAGAACCGAAGGACGCGGATAAAAAGGGTGACAAGGCTGCACAGAAGACGGATGCTGCTGCTACTGCTGTTGTTGTTGCTGTTGCTGAAGGCAAGTAAATCTACTCATCGTCAGATAGTGCAGCTTGACGGTCGATGCCGCTGGATGGCAAGAATTTTCTCAAGTTTAGTCAATTTTAAGGTAGCGCTAATTATACACACTTTATGGCTTAGTCCAGCGTCGAACGTTTATTTAGGTGTTTATGTTCACTGAACATGAGATGAGAATGTTTTTTTTTAGCGGAAATCGAACCGTGTAAACAATACGTTTGATTCCTTATAAATAGACAAAACGCATAATAGATACAATAGAAAGGCGTAAAACGCGAAAAGTAGGAACACTATGCGAGTTTCAGTGCTGAGTATAACTCTCGTTATTTACTTTCTACGCTAGTCTTTCACGGTAAGCGGAATGCGCGCTTGTATATATTAACTAATGTAACCAGATTCTACTATAAACTATAATATAGCAATATTCGAATTTTTGTTTTAGAATAATGCTCACAAACTTAACGAAGGAATTTAACTTCATCAATCATCGCTTCTCATGCCTGACCATGTTCTTCCAGTTGGATTTGATAGTATTGGTACACACTAAAGCATCATAACTCGATTTACAAATTATGTCTGGCTGCAGAGCGCTTTAGCTCTCTTATCCTAGATGCTCATATTACGACATTGAAGCACGCTCTTAATATCTGGTCATTTTAACACAGCGACGTAGTGAGAGATTTTCTATTTCATGCTATCCTACTTATATCTGAAAGGAGCCTTTGAACACATAATTTCAAGGGGGGTATGGGGAATGCGAAATTAGAGCATTTTCATAGAAAGTCAATAAGATATTGTGGCAGCTTACAACCATGATAGAACTTCAGGTAAAAGTTAAATATATTTCAAGAGGAATTTAACATAATGATGATTGACCAACCCATCGCACATAGGGGTATTTAATCGATCAAGCTTCTAGCTGGCCAAAAATTATTTTTGAGTTTGTAACTTCTTCAGAAGTCGATTTTATACTCGTATGAGAGATTTAAGCGATGCATTTTCAGACTTAACCCCAATTACCAGTATTATATGTCGGTGTCTATTTAGACCACAAAAGGATAAATTTGCATATTTTTTTTCCCTTATGGTTGAATTCAATCATTGATCAGGTGGACTTGCCCTTAAAAATTGAATGTATGTTTGCGAATGTAGAGCACTCGCCAAAAATAAGTCTCCCAACCGATTTTCATGACATTTTCAGGGAATGTAATACTATATTTAAGCTTGCAGGGTGGCAAGTGAACCAGGAACACCAGGAAAACCGGGAAAAAGTCGGGAATTTATTTTCACCCGGAAAAACCGGGAAAAACCTAGGAATTTCATAAGTCCACCAGGAAAATAATCTTGTTTGTATAATTTAAATAGGTTTTAAATTTTATGTATGTCAAAGTTTCTTTTTATAATCAGGTTAAAACTAAACATTTTGTTCAAGCTAAATCTTTCACACAACTAAACATTGATGAACAAAATTTACCCTGAGAATTTAGTAAATATATTTTGTATTTATTTTTAATTTAATTTTCTTCTCTAATCAATTGCATGTATGATTTGTGCTTAACTGATAGCAGACTTAAGCAGTGCCGACGCGTAACTACTAAGAAAGTACCTGTTCAACATGTTGAATAAAAAAGTTCAATTTTAAAAAAACTTCAGATAAGGCCTTCGAACTTCATGCAAGTTCTACAAAATTCGGGAAAGTCTTACAAGTTTCAGGAAAATCCTGTGAACTACTGTGATGACCTACGACGGTCAGGAAATCTCTCCGAACCTTCAGAAAAGTTCTACAAATTTCAGAGAAGTCTTACGAACTTCAGGGAAGTCCTTTAATTTTTGGGGAATAACTACGAATTTTACAGAATTTTCTACAGATTTATTGTAACTTCTACGACATTTAAGCATTACTTAAAACTTAAGGATAATCCTATGACACTTATGGATTTTTATCCGAGCTTCAGAGAAGTCTTCAATACTCTTGGGAAGTCCTCTGAACTTAACATAGTTCTCCAAGCTCAAAAAAGTTCCTAGAACTTCCGAGAAGTCTATTGAACTTCAGGTAGTCCTACGAAATTCATGGGAGCTCTCCAAACTTAAGGGAATTTCCAAGAAATTAAGGAAAGACAAACAAATTTTTGGAAAACCCTTCGATATTTAAAGCCTTATGAACTTCAGGGGAGCTCTTCTAAATTTAGGGTCCTCATATATTCAGTTAAGTCCTTCAAACTTCAGGGAAGTCCTCAGATCTTCGAGAAAGTTCTTCGAACTTGAAGGATGTCTTACGAACTTCTGAGAATTTCTACGAACTTCGTGGTACTTCTACAATATTTAAGAAATTCCTATGAATTTCAAAAAACTCCGAACTTTAGGGAAGTTCTAAGATCTTAAAAAAATTCCTTCAATTTTTGGGGAAGTCCCATGAAATTCAGGCAATACAAACTTCAATAAACCTTTCAGGAAAGACCTTAACGCTTCAGGGAAGTTCTACGAACTTTAGGAAGTTTCTATGAACTTCAGCAGTCAGTCTTTTTAATAATAAGAGTTATTAAACCAGCGTTGTTTATGAAATCTTTTAATCATATGATTTTGAAATCATGTTGTAATCAAAATTCCACTAAATAAGATTCTTAATCGTTGACAATTTGCAGAAAATGTAAACAAACTGGAAATCCGTAAAATTGTTAAAAGCAAAGGTTTGTTTAAAGAGTCCTCATTCAAATCACACTTCGTAGCTCGTTGGCTAAAAATCTCAATAATAAAGTTAAAAAAATCGCAGTTTCAAAAACAGAAATCCCAAGATTTAGGGGCTTATAGATCTCTAAATTTCAGACATTAGATAGGGCTCCGCGCTAGTTCGTCGTATCTCAGCTTTTCTTCGTCAGACACCCCTAAAATCGCTCATTTTACGGGTTATCGCAAATGTTTCAGTGTCAATCGTAATTAATCTTGTAAGCAAAGATGTTTTTGTAAAAACATGAGGGAAAACGCTTTGCTATTACAGTTTTAGTACATAGAACGGAAATAAGCGCCATGATACGACGAAGTAGCGCGAGGCCCTACTAGCTTCTTTACAGCAAACAATCAGATAAAGATTTCACGGGCATTCACAAGAACCTTAATACCTATTTTGGTTTTTGAAATTCCGCATTGTGCGAAGAATGATGGTACAAGTATTCACTTTATTTTTTTTTTATTAAAAATAGTTTTTTTTAAATACATGGTTTTTAAAACCAGGAAATTTTTAAATCATTGACCAGGAAACCCAGGAAAAAACCAGGAATTTCAAAATGGAAATTCACTTGCCACCCTGAACTTGGTTTACGTATCTTTATTGCACTCTATTTCTTCACCACTTTCTTCTTAATTCCACCCATATGGTTTTGTTCAATGGTTGAATCGACATTTTTTGTTTGCTTTCAACCATGATTTCAACATTTCCGGCTCCTTAGTGACAGTATCTTTCCGTCGGCCGCAACTCCGGTGTGTTTGGGGGATTGAGATCCTTCTAATCTAATCTAATATCACACTAACGTAGCCAATACTTTGAAAGCATCATGGAAAAAGACGACTTCATGAATCCGTCATTTTTCATTTCAACGGCCTGGCCGTTGTTGCAGAGAGGATTTCAAGCAGTCAAGGGATGTCAGAAATAAGTAACTGAAACCCCTGCACAACTTGAGATCAAGGAAAAGGAAGAAAGCGTGGACTTCCTGTATCACACGCTTCCAGTTACAATTGAATAGTGTTTGGGAGATTGAGATCCTTCGGAACGAAATTGACCCCATTCGTCTTGTACTACTCCATGACGTCCTTGGAGTAATGACAAGAGGCTAGATCCGGTCAAACAATTGTAGGAACGTTGTATGATTTGAGAGACGGAAGCAGTTGTTGCTTCAGGCATTCATTCATGTAGACTTGGTTGTATTTGTTGCGAACGGCTTTCTTCGTTTTCCGTACGAACAAATCGCCTGCCAAATCATGAATTTCTTGAGGAACTTCGACACTTGCTGTTGTTTCCTGAGAGATTCTGAAGCACTCTGAACTTGTCTTTCGCAGTCACATACTGAGTTCCCGGAATTTGTTTGAAGTCTGCTTTTACGTATGTTTCATCGTCCATGATACTGCAGTGTGCTTTTGTCAACATTCTAGCTGTCCTATTCTGTCGTTCATTGCGGTTTGCTGCTTTCTAAACCTTGGCTTTCTGAACTTTGGCTTTCTGCACGAAACTTTTGGTTAGGTGCAGTTTTTTCGCGACATCCGGAACGGAATAGTCGGGCAGCAACCACTCGCTTGTGATCTTCAACGTAGTACGGAATAGAGTCGGTGTATAATGAGTCACGCCAAGAGTGAAGCCAAGTCTACCTATTGAACTGTCAAACCGGCTACCTATCGTGCAAAGTAAACAAGCATTACGATGCTATGAAAGGTCCACGAAAGGTATTGCAATTAAATATAAAATATAATCGAAGAAATGATCATATACACGTAGTGAGAATTACATTTGTCATGCGATACGTTTTGTAATGATCAGTAATGACAATTTCTACTATTTTTCTTTAAGATAATTCGACAAAATCACTGATATAATGATTTACTAGAGCCGATAATTTTTTTTCTCGCTAGAAGTCATTTGAAGTTGATGCAGATGTCCTCTGTTGTCAAGTTAAAAGAAAGGGAATCTTTAGAAAACCGTGATGCGACTCAACTGATTTTCTCTTGGCGTGACTCATTATACACCGACTCTAGTACGGAACACTTTTTCTTGCTTCCGATCGACAGTTAAACCACAAACGAAGTGACAGACGACTTACTGGCGAAGAAATCCATTTAAATAATGTGGTTCACTGTAATAGAATTTTCTTGGAAGCTTGTGCCATCATCCACCAGATGGGTTAGTTTTTTGTTTTGATTTGAACAAAGTTGATTTTGTGTATAATGATTCTTTGATAGTGTGCAAAGAGTGTGTCATTTTGTCATTTTTTTATGCATTTCAGTTTTGAGTAGAGTGAAAGAGATAGAAACAAAACATTCTATTACATTTGGTGAAAATGCTAGTACAATCCAGTAGTAGTGTTGCCATGTGGTACAATCCAGTAGTAGTGGTGTTGCCATGTGGTATAGTGTAAAATTGCAATAGCGGGTTAGTCACCAAAGTTTTCGAGCCGCTCCGTCTGTCACTTCGTTTGTGGTTAAACTTTCTCCGAAACGTTTTGACACTAGAAACAGTAGATTGTTGGATTCCCAACATCTTTCCGATGGCTCGTTGCGATTATAGTGGTTGTTGAGGTAAGTGTACAACGTTTTCTCGCGCACGCGCTGTTCCTTCGACTCAATTTTCAAAACTTCTAGAAATTTCACAATGAAACTCACAATACACGATGAGGCCAATCACCCATAATTTCATTAAAATTAACCCAAGGGGCAAAACGTCATGGCTTTTTTAAAGTGATGCAATTTAACTGTGGAGACCCTCTATTGCGAAGGAATAGAACCGAGAAAAAGAGCAGCTACACTCGAAAAATTCCACACGTCACCATCATGTGTCTCACACTCCATTTTATGTGTGAATCTTATGCTATGAACCATGCCTGAACACTATGGATGTGAATTGTGACACACTTGGATTCTATGTGCCTCATATGGTGATATCAATAGCTTTGCTCATCATAGTTCAATATTCTACAATATTCTACGTTATCGACGTCTACTTTACCGACTCTAAAAATGAATTGTAAAATATATAAACAAAACTTCCAGAGGTCAGAGCTTTCACATATATTTTTAATGAGTCTGATTTGGGATTCGATCATGGACTGTTGGGGTGTGCTGCTGCCGGAGGCGGGTTGATAGGATATAGTCACAGCTCTTGTTTTCGATGTTTACCTTTCTGAGCAAGCAATTCGCATCGTATTGAAATGCAAAACACTTTAAATCCATCGTTCTACCACTACTGTTCAATAGTGTGATTCAATGTGCACTTGAATAGATAGTGAAAGATTTTCAACATTTCAAAGTTTGAAATACTAGAAATTAACGTGTATAACACATTGAATCAAAGTGAAATACACTTAAAGTAAATGCGATTGTGCATTTAAAAAATCAAGTGTTTAAATAATTTTTTGAGTGGAAGAACAGCAACGGTAAGCGGAGACATCATGCTTCAATGCGAATCCACCCCAATACAAATCAGTTTATAGGCAAATTTAGCATTTACAAATAATGAAATTTTGGCGCTTTAAAAGCGCTGGTTTATATGTATGTCATTTTAGCACCATTTCAGTTTTTGGAGCCAAATTGACCTTGTTGTCGCAGCTTTGCTGTTTGTGATGCGATTTTGTTTATTTCAGCGTTTCATACGTCCCATCCCGCATAAACAATAACCATAAGAAGCGTCTAACCACCAATTCGGGATATCATCCCAACTTTATGAGGTATGGTCGTACCATCTATGATATCGTTAGTGTATGGTGTCCGTTTATTAGGGATGTTGAAGACCTAGAGTTTTCTTCAAATAATGAGCTTAAATGTTGTGCTATATGTTGAAAAAAGCATGCATCAAGAAAAGAAATCTGAGCAGGAGTAATGCGGTGTTA